TCACTACTGCCTAAGTAGTGCACATTACTGCGAGGATCACTTTCATTCACAAATAACTAAATTAGAAAAAAACAAGGAATAACTTTTCCCTCCTGTTTTTAAATCCAACACAAATTCATTAGATTTAAAAGTTTGCTTCTTGTTCCTCTCGTTCGACGAGATCGTTGTTAGTAAACGCAGCAGCTTTCTTTGGCACAATTCTTGACCTTTCACGGCGGCAACAGAGCAGTTTGCGAAATCCCCTTCAGAACTCGCCATTTGTGAAAGCGTAAATATAGGATTGATTGAAACACTCAAATAAAATAAAAAAGTGACAAGCAATTCTGAAATTCTTGAGCTGGTTTCAGGGAAAAAACGAAACCAGAGGACAAATACCCACATTGGTATCCAGCAACACAAAAATCCCGCTGCCACAAGGACCAACATTCAAGTAAGCTTTACTTCTCTCACTTAGTTGGTTACTGAACCATTTTCACTCCCGTTCTGTAGCGATGAGACTACACTATGTTGATGCTCATTGGTTTTGAGAAATATCTTATAATAACTGAAAATGCCGACAAACAACGGTAAAACAAAAAGTAATCCGAAAGTGGTGCAATAATGAACGATTTGACTTTCACTGGTTGGGAAAGCAAAGACGCACACTGCGTAGCTTTGCATAAATTCAATTCGCAACCAATCTGTGACTCGGACAATGAGCAGGTAAAGTGCAAAGGAAAGTCACAAGCAACTCAACCATATCTTAGATCTTTGGGACGAAAACATCTTCTTGTAATGGCTTGTCTTTACAATTTTCACGTAGCGGTTAAACGCTGTCAAACCAAGGGTCGCTGGGGTAAAATAATAGGTAAATTCAGTAACTGAGCCTTGAAATTGGCATAAGGCGTCGCCAAAGACCTATCTTTTAATGATCAGCGTGGTAGAAGCTAACGGCATATCTACTATTCCACACAGCAGATCACTTACCGCTAAAGCTATGATGTACAGGTTGGTGGTTGATCGCAGGTTTGAGTTTCTGTATGTTGCCACACAAACCAGACTGTTTCCAATGATGCTTGTGAGGCTCAATGCAATATAAACACTTGCCTCGGTTATGAAAACAAGTAAGCTTCGGCTTGGTAACTCTAGGTTTGACATCTTTTCTACCAAAAAGTTTGATTAATAATTTAAAATTTAAGAACGTATGAATAAATAAATCGATTGAATAAATCGATGGACAAATAATATGATAGCTAAACTTGTGGCTGCAGCCGCAATAAGATAGTTAATTGAGTTATTTTTTAGAAACCTGGTTAAAATTTAAAAAAATTTAACCCGGTAAAAGGTTGGTTAAGATGAAATAAAGGGGCTTTATTTTTGAAAGGCGGAACTGAACTGGGTTATGAAGTGGGAGAACGTGACATCATAGGGAAACCAAAAAGACTTCGAGGGCCACGATGTTATTTTCTTCCTTCTTTCTTTCTTTTCGACTTCTTTCTCTGCAATCACGGATTAGATGATCCTCCTTCCGATTCGTTCTACGTTAGCTTCTTGGTTACCGTTAACGCAGCTTCCGTTCGATAAAAAGCCGAAAAAAGCCATTGATTTATTAGAAATAACCCGGTTTACTTGTCAAGTGCAGCCGCGGCCAAGGAAAATAACAATCCTTTTTTTAACTACCTAAGTCCCTAGCAAGCTCCTTCACCGCTCTCAGGTTTTCGCGAAGCGGCGACGGATTTTTTTCTTTTCATTATTTAATCTTTTATTCATCGTTTTGCACATTTTATTTCAAACCGGTACGTGATCCACTAGAGTTATTATAAAATACGAC